GATGGATCCAGTCCCTGCTCCTGGGCAGCAGAGATGTGAGCTGCCCGTGCAAAGGCCCCGGGGCCAGAAGCAACTGGAAGAAGCCAGCCCCTCAGCTGAAACACGGGCCCTGGCGAGGGGCTGCCTGATGGGCGCTGTCAGCCCAGCCCCCATGCAGAGACGCCTCTTCTCATAGTAACACAAGAAGTGCGGCCTCCCTCTGTGACAGCTGGGGACACTGAGGCCCACAGTGGGGCCGGGAGGTAGCTGTGGAGGCCAACTCCCTCCGCGGGTGCTGCTGCCCCCACTTCTGGAAGTGGGGGAGTGGAAGACGAGGCTCAGCGAGCAAACCTGGCTGTGGCCTCAGTTTCCCCCTCTGTGAAATGGGAACAGGGGCCCTGGGGCAGCCCCAGGGGCGTGGTGGCCGGGTGGGCAGGAGCCCAGGCCTGGTCTCTGGGCTCGGCGATACCCATCAGTGGGTACCAGCTGCCTCCAGGAGGAGGCCCGTCGACGGCAGCGAGGCCGGCTGGGAGTATTATTCACGCGTCCGTCAAGCCCCAGGAACGTCTGGTTGGCATAGAAACAGGAGATAAGGGGTACAATTAATGGCATCACATTCCCTCCTCCTTTCTTCCCCAACTGACCCATTTAAGTCCCTGGCGGGGCTGGTGCCACGCTGGGCTCGCGGTGACCTCCAGGGAGGGGCTGGCTGGGCAGGCGGGGCGCGGTCGGGGCTCGGGCCCCCGGGCAGGGCTGGCTGAGGTCTCCCCAGGGGCCGAGGCCACCCCTGCGCCGTGGGGTCTCGGGAAGGAGGCCCCGGGGGACTCGGCAAGGGCTGGGCTGGAGAAGGACCCCGGCTTGCCTGCCCTCCCGACGGCCCATTTCACAGGTGTGGAGACTGAGCCGGACGAGCCCGGGGCGGACGAGCCCGCGTGCTGCTCGCGGGCAGAGGCTGCAGTGCGCTGGCGGCCAGGCGGCCTGCGTCCCGCTCCGGCTCTGCCATGTTTTGGGGTGAGGAACTCGAGCAATCGGTGCTCAGTGTCCTCAGCTGTACGCGTGGTAAGAACAGGACTTATTTGAAGGTAAAGCGTGGCCAGGCCCAGAGCAAGCTCAGTACCAGCCACTGCTGGTACTGCTATTCCCGTCCACGCAGGAATGAACGCTCGCTTTCCCTGAGGCCCAGCCCAGCAGGAGGCTAAGAACCATCCAGAGCCAGCGTAGAGCCCAAGCTCAGGGGTGACGGCTGGGCCCCGGGGACCCCCAGGCCCTTTCAAGTCCGGGTTCGGGGCTGGGGGCCCAGAGCGAAGCCCTCCTGAACGTCGCGGCCCGTCATCCCCTTGGCTCACCACGGATCGGTCCCCACGCGCCCAGGGCCCTGAGGAGGGGCCGTGGCCATGGGGGACAGGACTTACGTCCCTGCTGACCCCTAGATGCCAGGCACTGTCACACCTGTCCTTCAGAGAGGGAGACGGAGGCCGTGGAAGGCGAGGGAGCTGCCCCCTGTGTACACACCCCCCCCCACTGCTGTGTGTGCACCGTCCTCTCCCAGTGAGATGAAGTCCAGGGGAGAGACCACCGACACCCCGGGCCGCCCCCCCAGCACCCGCCCCTCCCCAGAAGGCACTGGCGGCCCCACAGGTGGGTGTCGAGCTGCTGGGGAGAGCGGAGCTCGGCTCTGAGGCACGGAGTGAATTAGTCATCCTGTGACCACCGATAACTTGTTCAATCGGACTCCGAGCACGTGTGAAAAACACCCCCACTGGAGACAGTGTGGCCGCCGGGGCGACGGGGCAAGTCCACAGGCTCCGCGGGAGGCCCCTTACCCCCCTGGCCTGGGTTTCCACGAGGCACCACAGTCCCCGAGGGTCCTCGTACTGCCGTGACCTCACCAGCCGGAACTGGGGGCTTGTTCCTGTCCACATTTTTCCAAAACTGAGAAACTGAGGCCTGACCCCACCCTCCTCACCTCGTTCTCACCTCCTCACCCTTCCCTGGCTTCGTGTCCCTCTGAGCCCCTCATCCCCCCCCCCCCCCCGCCAACAACAGCCAGGTATCATCATCCCATTTTTCAGAGCTGGAAACTGAGGCCAGCCCACTGTCCCTTGGAGGCATCTCTATGGCTGGCTTATTCCTGACCTCACTGAAGGCACCCCCCCTTCCGGGAAGCATCCCTGACTGTACCTCTACCTGTTTACCCCCCCGCAACAGCCACCTAGGGCGGGGCTGGGACCCAGTGCACACACACAGCAAGTGCTCAATAAAGATTTGCTGAATGAATCAAGGGGGGCTGCTGCTCAGAAAGACCATCAGCACACCGGCTCCCCCTCACCCCAAACAGCCTGGGCGATGGAAACCACCCCGGTGCTTTTCAACAAAACTCCAAGCAGGCTACACCTAAAACTTGCCAGGAACGCACAGCAACCCTAACACGGTTCGAGGGGAAAACACGCTCTCCTGGAGGTGACAAACCCCACCTCTGCCTATCTCACACCATCTGATAGGAATCGGGCGGGGTGTCCCCTCCCCTCGCCCCAGAGCCCCGGGCCAGTGCGAGTCACTTTCCTTTCATTTTGACGGACTGTACCAGCCGCAGGGGAGGATCAACTTCTTGGCAATTAAGTATGTTTGGGAAGAAAACTCGCCCAGACGACCCGGCGCAGACGCCCGCTCCCGCTGCCCCCCTGCTCCCGCTCTGGCCCGGGTCCGAGGCCCCCCGCCTCTCCCAGCCACGACTCCCCCGCATGCTGTTGTTGCTGTTGCCTCGAACCCGGCCGGGCCTGGTGGCCACAGATAAGGCCTCTTATCGCTCTTGGAGATCGCCATCCGGCCGACCAGCCCTGCGCTTATCGGAGCTCACATCGACCCGGGCGGGAGGAAAGCTCGCCGGGCCGGGGGTCCCGAGCTGGGCTCTGCCCCGCGCTTCCAGCCAGCTCGGCCGGGCCTATCGTGTCGGCCATCTGGCCGGCCAAGGCCGCGCTCCTGCCTCGCCCTCCCCCCGCCCTCCCGCTCCCACGTTTGAAGTTAATAAATGGAAGCGCCTATCACCGCCGCCATCGGTTGCGCGCCTTATCAGCGCGGCACATCTATCTCCTCGCGGAACAAAAGGCGCACAGAGGCGCGGGCAGCTGCGCCCCGGCTTTGGTGAGGGCGCGGGGGGGCGGTGGCCCCAAGCGCCTCGCCCCCTCCCCTCCACCCCTCCACACCCGCGGCCTGGTCGCAGGTGAGGCCGGCGCGGCGGGCGCACAGCTGCGAGGGCCGCACGCACAGCCGCGGGCAGAGGGCGGGCGTGCGCCGCCGCTTGGTGACAATCAGCGCTCACATCTTAACTCGCCAAGATCTGCCAGAGGGAGGAGGCGCCCGGGCCGGGGGCGGGGGGGACTGCAGAGGGAGGGTGCCCAGCCCCCCTGCTGCGCCCCCACTCCTGCCCGGATCCTGGCTGCGCTGAGCGTGAGCAGCGGGGGGCTCGCCTGTGCGCCCCGTGCGTCCCAGGCCCCAGGCACACCCTGGCCGACCCAGCTGGGCCCGCGCTCGCCCCGCGGGAGGCCTTATCAGCGCAGTTGATCGGTTCCCAGCCCGAGATCTCCCTGCCCGCGCTATCTGTGTTTCTCATCACGCTGAAACACACACACGCACACACGAGAACAGGCGAACAGAGGCGCACAAGGGGAGGAGGGGAAAAAGAAACCAGAGAACCAGCGCAGATCGGGGACCGTGGGTGGTTTTAATACTTAAGTTGACTTGATAGAAGGCGACTTTCAGAAAACATGTCCCGCTTGCACATCGGAGGAGTGGGTTACGGGAACCCAGATTTACGCTTGCGTTGCCCCTTTCTAGGCCCTGAGGGGTAGACACCCCCCCAGGCCCGCGCACATGGGATCCCGGTGGCAGTGGTCATGTGGACAGAAGTGGCAGTGCCCGGGTGCCTACCGCTGGGCAGAGGACTGGGGCCCCGCTCTTCGCTTCCCATCTGGCCGGGGAGATGCGACCCCCCAGAGGAGACCGCGTGCCCAGGCCCTGGCAGCAAAGGCGCGAAGTTACTGGCAGGAGGCGGGAGCGGTGCTTCCTGGGTGCTCGCTCTCTCGCTCCTCGCCAGTGGCCCAGAGCGCGCGGCGCTTTTACCACCGGGCTTTGGCAGTACCGGCTTACAACCGCGCAGGCCCCTGGGGAGCGGCCCACAGGTCGGACCGGCGAGAAACACGGGACACAAGCAGAGGCCACGGTGACCTGGGGCCTAGCCCCTGGAAGCCCCCTTTCCTGACTTGGGAGCAGTAGCGTAGCCCCCTCGGATGAGTGGCGTGGGGGGGGGGGTGGAGGGGGTGCCTGCCGGCTGCACGTGCGGCATTGGCAGGGACAGAGAGTAAGGTCGGACCTCCAGGAGGCAGTCCCCGGGCAGGGCAGGGTCGAGTTGGAGACCCCAGAGACAGGGCTGGGGCGGGGGGGTCTGATCGGCTGGAAGCGAGCGCACGGGCTGCGGTGGCGGCACCCATCTCCGTCCCCAGCCACGCGGCTCTAGGGCCGGCAGAAGAGGCGGGGGCGCGGGCCGTCCCCGCACTGAGCCATGCGTTTCCAGGAGGCCCGAGTGCCCCCTCTCCCTCCCAGGTCTCTCTGTTTCTCCCTCTAGATACAAAGCCTGGGAGAGTCAACCGCGCGGCGAGATAAGATCACAATTTCAGCCCGTCCCGACAGAGCGATCTTATCAGGACGGGACTTGCAGAATGGAATATTTTAAACTTTATCTGAGCCCAGATCGGGGCCGCCGTATCGCCGCACCATCTCAGCGATGCGGGGGAGGGGCAGGGCGCAAGCTGGCCGCGACACTCCTCCCGGCCGGACCCCGGGGTCTGAGCCGCGCCGCGGGGGCCCGGCCCGCCAGCGAGATTACCGCGCGCGGGGCGCACAGCGCGGGGGCGCGGCGCGGGGTGAAGGTCGCGGGCGCCGCGGGGGGGGGCGCGGCCGGGCGTGCGGGGGCGGGCGTGCGGGGGCGGGCGGGGGTCGGGGCCGGCGGGCAAAGTTTGACTCACGCTTGATCTGCCGGGGGTTGCTCTGTTTCCTCCTGGACATGTCTCCGGCGCCGCGCGCCCTCCCGGCGGCCGCCTCTAGCCCCTGGCGGGCGGCGGCGGGCGGCGGGGGCGCGGCGGGGCCGCGGGGCGGCTCATGCCCCCGGCCCCCGGGCTCCGCGGCCGCCCCGGCCCGCGCCCCAGCCCGCCGCGCCCGGCCCGGAGCCGCTGCGGAGGCCGGAGGCAAGGCCCTGCGCTGCGGGAGCGCCGACCGCCGGGGGCGGCGGGCGGCGGGCTGCTGCCAGCTCCTCGGCTCCCGCGCAGACGCCGCCGCCGCCGCCGCCGCCGCCGCAGCTGCTGCCGCTCGGCTTTTCTCAATGGAACCCGCCGGCACCGCGCGGCGAACCGGGCGGCCTCGGCCGGGGCGCTCCCGGCGGGCGGGCGGGCGGGCCGGCGCGGCGGGGGGGCGGGGCCTGCGCGTCCCCGGCGCCTCGCCTCCGGCCCCGCCCCCCCGCCGTGCCGGCCCCTTACCCGGGCGGATCCGAATTCCCTGCAGCCCGGCCCCGCCCCCGCCACGATGGCCCCGCCCCGCCGCGGCGGCCCCGCCCCCGCCACGATGGCCCCGCCCCCCTCGGCGGCCCCGCCTCCGCCCCGCCGGCCCCTCCCCCAGGCGGAACCAGGTTCCGCGCAGCCCGGCCCCGCCTCCGCCCGCCGCGCCGGCCCCGCCCCCGGCCCTGGGTAGACCTCCGTCTTTCTTGGCTCCTCCTTCGGTCCCGCAGCTTCGTCCTCAGGCCACACTCTGATTCAGCGACCTGTCCGGTCTCGCCGCCCCGCGGCCGAACTTCAGGCCTCTCTGGGCCCGCCCCTAGGGCCTAGCTCCGCCCCCGAGCCTGGCTCGGCCTCGCCGTGCTCGCCCCCTCGCCCCGCCCCAGGCTTCCCGTGGCTCCGCCCCCAGGCCCATGGCCCCTCCCAGGACCCCTGGGCTCTACGGCTCCCCCCGCCCTCCGCCTGCGGGGTGCGGGCAGCAAGGGCTTCGTCAGGAAACCCTAGGCCTCGACGCCCCACGGTGTCTTGAGCCAGATTTGGGGTGTGGAGTCGGCTGCGGCCGGGTGGGGGCTTCCGTCCGAGACTGTGCTGGAAGCAGCATCCGGGGTCTGCCGTCCGCGTGAAGTGTGGGGACCTCTGGACCCCGGTCCCCTGGACTCCCGGCTGGCTGTAAACCCTGGAGGGCCGGCTCCCCCTGCAGCGGCCCGTTCCCCCCCAGGGCGCCCCTGATGAGGGGCCGGGCAGGAGGTCCCTCCGTGGGCTGAGCGGGCACCTGCGTCCCCTCCCGCCTGGGGCACAGTCAGTGCCGTGTCTTCTAGCCCTGGAAATGGAGACAGCTTCTCCTATCTTTGGGGATATGTTCACGGGACCCCAAAGGCTCCCCCCATTCCATTTTCCGGTGCAGCTCAAGTCACATAGCATTACCAGGTTTGTCCCCAAACTGAACTGTATTCTTTTAATATTCTCGGCCTGCATTTGGTACCTGCTCCGTCTGCCCCTCATTCAGAAGAAGTCGGGAGAGAGCAGGGCCCAGGCGCTGACCAGACCTTTGCAGAGAAGACACCTGGGTGCCTGTCCCGATAATTATCACAACTGTCAGCCGCAGAGGCCGACCTTGCGCCCTGCCTGTGAGGCACCCCCGTTATCTACGCCCCCATCCCACGGAAGAGGAGAAGGATTGGGCCTGGGCACTCTCACGGCACCACCACTGCTCTCCGGGGGCCTCTGGGCAGGAGAGGGGCAGGTGGGCCAGAGGCTGAGGTCTCCCCACACGTCCACCACCGGACAGATGGGCGCACCGAGGCCGGGAGGCCAGGAGACCGGCCCACTCGGCTCACCGGCCCTTCCTGCTCCCTGCCCTGGGCCGGTGGGTGCAGCCTTCCTACAGCGGCCTCGAGCTGGACCCTCTCTGGCGAGAGTGGGGCCCACGGTTGGCTGGTTGGCTCAGGGCTCCCACCAGTCTGGGCTTTCTGTGGGCCTTACCATCAGTCCCATAGGAGGGCTTAGGGCGGGGGCCTCTATAGGGGTGGGAGGAAGATTCTAGAGGAGGGCTGCGAGCTGGCACCAGGGCTCCTTGGAGGCCCCGCTGGCAGTGAGTGGTGCCCGGGCTGGCGCTGCTGCAGCGGCTGGAGATGCATGTTGAGGAGGATTCCGAGGGTCAGGGAAGAGAGAGCCCAGACTGATCAGCGGCATTTGGGGTGCAGGGAAGACAGGCGTCGCTCTGACTACTTGTTTCTCGTATTGTTTAAAAAACGAGGCCCCTGAGGGGAAGGACACGTCCGGATTTCCCAGTGACTTTGAGTCACAGGTGGGTCGGAAACAGAGCCTGCTGACTGGCACCGACTACCATTTTGAGGGCCTGGTTGCAAAACATGTAGGGCCTCTTGTTTAAAAATTAAAAATTTCAGGGCAGCCAAATTAGGGCATTAAACCAAGTGTGGGGTCGCATGAACGGGTCACACGCCCACGAAGCCAGGACAGTCCTGACCCCCGGCCAGGGCTGTTTCCGGAGCACCTTCCTTCTAAACTTTGCCCCTTCTGTCTGTCCTGGGGGTGGGGTCATTAGCCCATCGTCCAGATGAGGAGCCCGCGGGGGCCAGTGGCAGGGTCACAGGGCCCCGGCTGCGCAGGCCCTACACCCTCAGGACACGTCTGTTGATAATGACCACACGCTGAGGACAGAGGAGCAAGAAGTGCTGTCAGAGGAAGGCCTGTGTGAGCCCAGAGGAAGAGCCTGGGGAGTCCAGGGTGGCTGCCCGGAGAAGGTGACATCCGCATGTGGCTTTGCAGGGGTCCCTGATCAGGTGGGAGAGGAGAAGCAGAGTGTGGGGTTGCTGAGGGTGTCCAGGCTAAGCCCACCTGGCCACCTCCCCCCCTCCCCCCACCGTGGACTGCCCTTGTGCACCCGTCTCCACCTGCCCCTGCAAGTGTGCACGTCCAGAAGCCACTGGTGGAGAAAAGGGGACTGTGTTCAGCCGGAGTGCAGGGCTGTCGATGCCCAGGGTGGAGCTGGGCCGCCTGGTTGTTCCCCGCTCCCTGGATCCGAGCTTTTGGGCAGCTGCCCACTGGGGCTCCAAGGCTCCCTGGAGGCCTCCTGGGCAGGGCTTTGGCCCGGGCGCCCGCTCTAAGGCCGATGTCATCGTCACCGTCCGCCCCGCCTTAGGGAGCCCTGGCCTTGGCTGGTCGTGTTCTCTCACGCCACACGTGTGCTGTGCTCTGGAGGTCAGGGCCGCCAGACGCACCAGGCAGAGGCTGGCAAGCCGGGCCCGGGACACCGGACAAGATGTGCTCTCAAGCACGCAGGGGGGGTCGTGGTGGTGATGAAGACGCCGAGGCTCAGAGTGGCCCTGCAGCTCGGATGAGGGAGACCTGGGGTGTAACCCCAGGCGGCTGCGCTCCAGAGCCTGGCCTGGGAGCAGGGAGGACTGAGTCCAAACCCCACCTCTGCCATTGTGGAGGGCGTGACCCTGCCCCGGTCCTTGATCAGTCGGGTCCCTGGATTCCGCATACGTAAGTGGGGGTGGGGGTGCGACCCCTCGGGGCTCCTCTGGCCTGACCGCAGTGTGGCTCTGGGCTCCGGTCCTCTGCCCTCTGCCCTGTGGGCATGCTCCGTGCTGCCTCCCCACCAGGAGGGCCCCCCCAGGCTGGGCAGCTGCTGGGGGTGGGGAAGGGGCTTCCACGTGCCAGGCCCTGCACTTTTGGGCTATGACCCAGGGAGCCACAGAATGTCCCAGAAACTTAAGGGGGCTCCTGATGGAGGAAGAGGATGCTCAGGACAGAGTGGTGGGAAGAGGCTTTCTCAGCTAACAGAAAAGCGGGTGCAGAGGTTGGGGTAAGTCCGGGGCTGGAGCAGACTTGGGGTGCGTCAGGAGGCCAGTCCACAGCAGGGGCTTCTTTCTGTGTTACTGCCTCCCAGTGTCCAGGATTTCACCTCCGTATAGCTCTGAGATGCGCCCCGATACAGTGCCACCAGCCCGCCCTGCTTCCAGGCCCTATCTCCATCACCACTGCCATCGCCACCCACTGGTCCCCCACGGCCACTGCTGCCTGCCCCCCGCTGCAGACTGAAGGCAGCGGGGCCTTCCCAGAAGCCCTGTGTGATGGCCTCAGCATCTGCCCTGCCCCAGGCTCCCTTCTCATCTGAACCTCCTCGTGTGTGTGTCCTGTGGCCACAGGGCCTTTGCACAAGCTGTTCCTGCTGCCGGGCACACTTTTCCTCAGGGAAGGCCCTAACTTCTCCCAGACAAGGTGAGGCTCCCCTCTCTGTTCCAGCTGCCAGGGCCCAGAGTCTCTTCTGTAGCACCAGGAGCTCCATCACCTTACACCAGCAGGGACAGGAGCGGCGCGGTGTGCGGCGTCTTGATGCCAGACCCGTGATGAGCACGAATACGGAGTGGAGGTGGGGGGGGGGTGGAGTCAGTGCACAGCCTGCTCAGAGCAGCTTTCTGAAGGAGGGACTGTTAGAATTCCCATTTGCCAGAAGAGTAAACTGAGGCTCCGAGAAGTGAAGTCACTTGCCCAAGGCCGCACAGCAGGTAAGCGGCCGCGCAGTTTCCTCCCTTCCTCCCACATGCTGTTCCAGAGTGGAAGCTGCTGGCTGCGCTGGAGGAAAGGGGACCCAGGTTCCACCCGTGGACCCCCGCCTGGGCCGGGCCTCCCCGCCCCCCGGCCCTGAGGCCCTGTCGCTGCCGGCAGCCAGCGGGGCCCACGCTGACATTCATCAACACCAGCTCTGTGAAGGGTTTAATTAACTTCCTGTTGCAATGGGGGGATAATGAGTTTTAAGCACCACGTGACTCTGTAAGGAGGTCAAACGGCAGCGAGGATGTCAAAGTAAATTAAGTTAGGGATCAGGAGGCCGCCCGCGGGAGGCCGGGGAGGGGCCCAGGCCGCGACCGCCGGTGGCAGGGGGCTTGGGGCTTGCAGACCGGGCGCGGGCAGTCGGCCCGCAGCTGGGGACCCCGTCCCATCTGCACCGCTCACCCCCGGATGTCTGGGGGGCGGGGAGGGACGGCCGGGCCCACGAGGTTCTCCTCCGGGCCTCGGTGCCCCCTGTGAGGCCGGTGTCTCCCACGCCCCGGGACACGGAGGCCCTGGTCCGCGGACGGTGCCCCTCGGGTGGCGGCCAACCGAGCGTGGCCCGCTGGCCGGGCAGTGCTGGGCGCCGCAGGAAGCCTCGTCTGCGCGTTTCCCAATCTGAGCTGGGCCATGCGGCTGTATCGGCAGAGAGGAAATGCACACGGCCCCATTCCCTCCCGCCCTCCTCCCTCCTCCCCACCCAGCGCCCTCCTCCCTCCTCCCTCCTCCCCACCCAGCGCCCTCCTCCCTCCTCCTCACCCCTGCACCTTCCTCCCCCCTCCCCACCCAGCGCCCTCCTCCCTCCTCCCCACCCAGCGCCCTCCTCCCTCCTCCTCACCCCTGCACCTTCCTCCCCCTCCCCACCCAGCGCCCTCCTCCC